ACCGACTCCATCCACACCTGTGGGAACCCCTGGACCTGCTGGGGCTGGACCCCGGCAGAAGTGCATCCTTAGGCAACTGTTGTTTTAAGCTACTGAGATTTTAGGGTTGTTGCTGCAGCATAACCTAACCTAGCCTGTCCTTGACTGATACGGAGATTGGAATCTAGAGGGCAGTGTTGCAATAAAAATAATAAAAAAAAAAACATAAAAAAAACGCACCACAAAACCCTAGTATGTGTGACTAACTTATCTGGAAGGCAGCAAAGCGATCTTATTGGAAGCTGGAAGGATGGCAACCCATCTTATACAGTAGCAGAGTATTTGATAAAACCGTTGCCTGCAGTAACTTACAAGACATATGTTAATCTAATTTATCTACAAGTAGGAGAACAAGTTTTAGCAGCTTGAATTGAATACTGGCCGGTGCTCAGTGGTTAGAGCATCCACCCGAGCATTTAGGGGTCTTGGGTTCGATTCCGATCAAGGGCATGTACCTCAGTTGCAGACTCGATCCCCAGCCCTGGTTGGGGTGTGTGTGGGAGGCAACCAGTCGATGTGTCTCACATGTTGATGTTTCTCTGATTCACCCCTTCCCTTCCACTCTTTCTAAAAATCAATGGGAAAAATACTAGTATCCTCTGGTGAGGATTAATAAAAACAAAACAAGAGAATCGAATACTGTTGGTTGCTATTGACAAAGCGCCACAAGACGAGCTCAGAGAAAAACTGACGAGCTTGCAAGCAGGCACAAGGGATCTAGAGAGACTACAGAAAATCAGTGATCCCGCAGGGTTCTCAGAAGCAACTGCCTCTCATCCCTAACTGGGAATAGATAAAATTCAGAAATGTTTGGGATGACAAACACCAATGCAAACTCAGTTTTGTAGGTAGAGAGACTGTCCTGGTTTGCCCAGAAGTGTCTCAGTTTTAGCACAAGTCCTGCATCCCAGAAAATACCCCTGGCTAGGCAAACAGGGACAACGACTTGTAGGAAAGGTTAAAACAATGGTATGGTCATCACGTCTGTTGTTGAAACCTCTGAGCAAATTATTTAAGAGCAGCAATTTTCAACGGTTGTACCTTGGCACACTGGTATGCCACCAAGGATTTTTAAAACATGCCATACCGCCCTAACCGGTTTGCTCAGTGGATAGAGCGCCAGCCTGCAGACGGGAGGGTCCCAGGTTCTATTCCGGTCAAGGGCATGTACCTCGGTTGTGGGCACATCCCCGGTGGGGGGTGTGCAGGAGGCAGCTGATATTTTTCTCTCATCGATGTTTCTAACTCTCTGTTCCTCTCCCTTCCTCTCTGTAAAAAAATCAATAAAATATATTTTAAAAAAACAAAAACAAAAATGCCATACCTATTTTGTCAGGGGCATTGACCTCTTTTCCCTTCGATAGTCAAATAAAGAAATGATAGCAGCCAACACAACAATAGCTGTCCAGTGTAAATGAATAAAAATTATACTTTTTTTTTTTCAGGTCAGCAAAAAATGTATTTTTTGAGGTGTTGCAGAATTTTAGTCATTAGTTTACATGTACCATGAAATGAGAAAGATTGAAAATCAGTTTTATCTATTTTTTATTTATTTTACTTTTTAAAATATATTTTTATTGATTTCAGAGAGCAAGGGAGAGGGAGAGATAGAAACGTCAACGATGAGAGAGAATCATCGATTGGCTGCCTCCTGCACGCCCCCTACTGGAGACTGAGCCCACAACTCAGGCATGTGCCCTTGACTGGAACTGAACCTGGAACCCTTCAGTTCACAGGCTCTATCCACTGAGCCAAACCAGCTAGGGCTGAAAATCAGTTTTAGAGCAAAAGCCTGGATATGGTTGTGGCCCCCAGGAAACCATTTCAATTAAACTAAACTGCTTGGGGAAGAGACGTAAGGTATAGCTAGCTCTCCAGTTAACAGTTCAAAATACCTCAAATTAGTCAGAAGCATCTGAATGAGAAAATATATCGAAGTTAAGAAAATGTCTAGTAAGGACAGCTACTGGCATATGAAACTGCCTGAAGTCAGAGACAAAATACCAACTATATGTTTATGTACTACGCTACCAAAAGATGAGTCCTATAAGTCCAGCTGATCGCAAAGGACCAGGGACTGGAAAGCTGAAAATTGGAAATACAGTGGAACCTCAGTTCTTGAACTTAATTCATTTCCAAAGGCTGATTGAGAATGATTTGTTCGAAAACCAAATCGTTTTCCCCCATTAGAAATAATGTAAACTGAATTAGTCCTCTCCAGGCTCTCAAATGATTCAGTTTTAACCTTCCTTCTGTACATGTCTAATGTACTGTTTAACCTATAAACACTTTTTCCCTTAAACTTATTGAACCACATCCTACTAGCCTTACACAAATTTTTCATATATCCCTGCCTCCCAGCTGCTTTTCACTTATCCAATCAACAAGTTTTCCTACCTATTCATTTGCCTGTACTTAATTGCTGTTTTGTGAGCACTTTTCACACCCTTAGCAACATTAGTACTCTTGATGGCCTCTTTGTTTTAAAGTTGTGCTAATCCTCAATTTCTGCCAGCAACAAAAGGATTATCTCCTTTGTCTACTGCCTGAGAGATGCTTTTTGTCATGCTGTTTTTTTTGTCATGCTGAGGGATCAGTATGAAAGGGCTGTTAGGTCAAAAATTGTTTTGGTCTACAACTGAGATTTTTTTTTTTTTTTTTTCTGTGAACACTTGGTCAAGAACTGACTTGTTTGAGACTGGAGACATTGGAGAAACAAGGTTTGACTATACTTGATAAACAACACTAATGACTACCCCAGTACAATAAATGTTGCCCAAGCCATTGGCTTATAGGGTAGTGGCGCTTAAGCTTAAGAACACTCAGGGAGCAAAACTGGTTTGGCAGAAGACACCATGCTCCATTTTTACCGTTTGGCAAAAGTAAATCAAACTCACCGTATGTAAATTGACGTGCACACCAAGATAAGAGCGTGCATACCTTATTTTATCGCACTTCACTAAAGTTTTTTCTTTTCTTCACAGATGTTATCAACATCTAGACAAGACCCTCTACCAACAAAAAGGTTGACTCACTAAAGGCTCAGATGATAGCATTTTTTAGCAATAAAGTATTTTTTTAATGTTTTTATTTATTTTAGAGAGGGATAGAAACATCAATGCATTAACATCAACACTGATTTGCTGCCTCCTGCCTGCCCCCTGTTGGGGATCGAGCCCACAATCCAGGAATGTGCCCTGACCAGGAACTGTGACCTCCTAATTCATAGGTCGACGTTCAACCACTGAGCCATGCCAGCCAGGCTAAAGTATTTTTTAAGATATATACATTGCTTTTTAAACATAACGCTATTATACTTAATAGACTACAGTACAGTGCAATCATAACTTTCATATACACTGAGAAACTAAAAAGTTCATCTGATTTGCATTATTGGTAATCTGGAACCCAACCCACAAAAATTTGAGATATGCCTCTATATACCATAGGAGAGGAGTGGACATGCTTCAACATGGGTTGGGGATGGAAGAGTGATAGGTAGAACAGGCTAAACTGCTTAGACCTGGAAAAGAGCAGAAACAATCATCTGTGAGGTATGGCTATTGAAAACTTTTTGATTTAGAGAGGAAGGGAGGGAGAGATAGAAACATCGATGGGGGACAAGGGGACAAATAAAAAACATTGATCAGCCATCGCCTGCAGGCCCCCTACTGGGGATGCTGAAACCTGGCATGTGCCTTGACCAGGAATCTGAACCAGTGGCCTTTTGGTGCATGGGGTGACGCTCAACCCAGCCAGACCCACAGGGTGAGGTGTGGCTATTTTACCAGCCTGAATAATCAGAATTGAGTAGCCATTCTGGTGGACAAAGTACAGAATAAAAAAGCCAAGGCTGCCCTGGCCGTTGTGGCTCAGTTGATTAGAGTGTCATTCTGTGCACCGAAAGGTGGTGAGTTCATTCCCTGGTCATGCTGGAGGCAACTGATGTTTGTCTCCCCTCCTCTCTCTAAAATCAATTTAAAAAAATTTTTTTAAAGGCCAAGGCCTTCTGCTCCTCTGGCCCCGCGGTCTCCATGCCTCCACGCCTCTGCCGCCGCTCTCCCTCCCTCCCCCGACTCCTCCCCTTCCTCCCTTCTCCTGCTCTACTCCCTCCACCTTGTCCAATCGCCACCTCTCAGCAGCCTCTCCCCAAGCCCTACTCTCCTGCCCCTTCCCTTCCCCTTCCTTCCCCCTAAAAAAAAAAAAAAAAAAGCCCAAGGCCTTCTGGGCTGATAGTCCTCTTTCCCCCAGAGCCTGAAGGTGAAGGGGTGGGAAGGAATCTTTTCTTTTCTTTAGAGAGGGAAAGTCAAGAGAGTAGCCCAGCCCGTGTGGCTCAGTTGTGTTGACCTATGAATCCAGTCAGGTTGATTCCCGTCCGGTTGCTCAATCCCCAGTGGGGGTGGGGTGGGGGGGTGGTGTAAGAGGCAGTGATCAATGATTCTCTCATTATTGATGTTTCTATCTCCCTTCCTATCTTTTTTTTTTAAATATATTTTATTGATTTTTTTACAGAGAGGAAGGGAGAGGGATAGAATTAGAAACATTGATGAGAGAAACATCGATCAGCTGCCTCCTGCACACCCCCTACTGGGGATGTTGCCCACAACCAAGGTACATGCCCTTGACCTGAATCGAACCTGGGACCTTTCAGTCCGCAGGCTGATGCTCTATCCACTGAGCCAAACTGGTTAGGGCTCTCCCTTCCTATCTTAAATCATAAAAAAATATACACATATATATTTTGTTTTTAAGAGAAAGGAGTCTTGGCTTAAGCTCAGACAACTATGGATACAGACCCAACTGCCCCTGCCTTCAAATTCAGAGGTTCATTTACCTGTTTTAAACCAAGTGTTTTAAGCACTTTCATGCTCCTAAATTTTAAGGTGTTAAACCTCAGATCTATGAATTAAGACCCTTCCCTAACCACTAATTTTAAGGGCAGAAATCAACATGACACACAGTGGAAATATGTATTCAATTTTATTTCATTAGAAAAATTCACTTAAGCCACATGGTGGCTATAATGCCCATGTCCCAAGCGGGCTTTATCCCACTGTCCCCTTCAGACCAACACATACACACTAAGTTGGAAGACTTAAAAATGTAAGTCACATCTCTTTAACTGTTACCCACACACAGAGGAGCTCACACGAAAGAGAAGCTGAACACAAAGAAACTGACCATAAGACACCCAAGTCCAAAGGAACTCTTCACAGAGGTTTAGGAAGTAGGGCTGAAAACACCGTCATCTCCCAACAGCTGAAATCACAGCACAAGCCCTCATCTAAGAGGTCAGAGCCACGCTGCCAAGGACAAAGCACACAGCAGACTCTGGGGAGAAGAGTGAAATCACTCCATTCCACAACCATAGGCAACCCACTCACACCTGCCTATTAAGCAGTCTTTTTCCGGGGCAAGAAGCATCCAGATGGAAGGGCCCTTCCAGGGCCTAGTAACAGTTCTCTGCTAACACTGATGCTGGGCTTGCCTCCCCAGGAAACTGGGACACCAGGCTGGACAGGTTTAGGTCAAGTGTTCCAAGGTTATAGCTGGTGGAGGGAGGTCTTATCACACCCCTCTGGATGGATGTTCTGGAAGGCTCTTGGGGATTCTGTGATGGCTAGTTGACCTCTGGTGGTCCAGGAGCTCCCAGGCGATGGGTTCTCCAGTAAGCCCCCCAGTGACTCCATCAGTCTAACAAAGATGGAAAGCAGGGTCAGCGCCACACCTAAGAGATAGAGGTTAAATATATGCTTCATAGCTGAAGGGATCCCACTCCTTTGCAGAGCAGTAGAGCTGCCTTCTGCTTCTGGTAGACTTCTGGGTCCTGAGGAAAGAGAGGCAAGGTTAGTTAGAGCCTTTTGGGATATGCATGCATCTGGCCCTCACCCTTCTATCTTCCCATGGAGCCAGCCAGGATACAGGGACCCATGATGTCTTTCCATAGCAGAAGCTCAAGTATATTTACACCGTAAACTCCATGGCTGAGGAGCCAGGAGTTTCTTTTCACGAGCAAACTTTTACTTCTGAAAGTAAAAACCTTTACTTTCTTGCCAGGTGCAATGCACAATCCCTGTGCCACAGTCCAGGGACCAGAAGCTTTCCTGAAGAACTGAGTCCTTTTGTAAGAGGACTGTTGTAGGCAGTGAGACATGAGCAGAGAAAGGAAGATGGGCCAGGTACAGGTCACCAAGGTGGAAAGCCCCAGTTGCCTAGCAACACACAATCAATTGTAGGGTGGGACCTGCCCCCAGGGTGACTTTTCCTCCCCTAGCATATATGGACCCTCCAGACCTTTCCTCCCTAGAGATAACATCTATGCCTCAGATAAGCAACAAAACCAGTAACTCCACTGGCAGGACCAGCTGCAATGAGAACCACCCCTGCCCTGGGCCTGCCAATCAATCAGTGGAGAACACAACCCAGAAAAGACACATCTGGAAAACTACTGAATATTCTGTTGCGATCTTCTCCTGGGACTTCCTAAAGTCTCCACCCTAAAAACCCTTAGTAAGGAGTACCCAGTGGGCTCTCCCTCCAGGGAGCACGCCCTGGCCTTTCCCTTCCCCTCCCCATTCTCCCTCCTTGCCCAGGCAGTAACCATTAGCTTCCTCACTCCTAAGGTCCTTTACCTCCTAACTCATTTCCTAAACTCATTTCTTCGAGGAATTACTTCTTCTACCTCTAAGACTTATCAAATACTCTTACAGTTTGGTTCTTGGCTCTGAATTCTTTCCAAGACAGAACCCATGTACCGAGGTTGTTGATCCCAGGTTTGGTCGGACCCCACGGGTCAGACACCGGGTGCCAGTCCTGAGGCCTACACCGGGGCTATCAGAACGTGTCCTAGCCAGGCAGGTGTGGCTCAGTGGCTGCGGGTCGACCCATGACCCAAGAGGCCACCGGCTCAATTCCCAGGCAGGGCGCATGCCCGGGTTGCCACTCACCCCCCCCCAGTAGGTGGTGTGCAGGAGGCAAGAGATCTTTGATGTTTCTATCTCTATCGCTCTCCCTTCCTCTCTCTAAAAGAAATCAATAAATAATAATAATAAAAAAGGAACATGCCCTTGAGAAAGCAACTTGCCTGGGAAGTCTCCCTCATATCTCATTAAGGTTCGAGTTAATCATAAGCTTTTTGAAGGTCAAAATAATTCTAAGTCAAATCTATCAAGTTCACTTAGTAAAAATAATACCCTGATTACTCCCAACTAGTTAAGCACCCGGGAAGGTACAAGGGCCACACGGGGCCCCGGAGCCGTGAACCCTGCCCTCTCGGGGCTTTAGGGGCAACAGGCAAGAACCCCGGCAGTGGCGCAGGAGGTGCCAGGGTGCTTTGAGAGAGCATGGCAGCGACGCCTACTCACCCAGCACCGGGAGCACGGACCTGGGCCATCTGCATCCCAGTGAGGGCCCCTCTTGGGGACCCCAGGGCTGGAGCGCTGAGTGGGGAGCGGGCGGGGGCGCAGGGAGGAGGGGAGCCCCAGAAGGCCCTGCCACAGTGCAGGGGAGGGAGGCGGCGGCCCGGCAGGCAGGCCGAGGGTGGGGGCGTGGGGCGGGAGCTGGGGCAGCCCGGAGGCCGCTCACCTGCAGGAGGAAGGGCCGGGAGCGGCCGGCTCGCTGTAACAGCAGGTCGTGCAGGAGTCGGGAGGAAAGTCGGCCGACGGGAGCGCGAGGAGGCGACTCAGACGAGCCTCAGAAGACCAGCGCGCAGTCAGCAGCGAGTCGCACTCAGGCCGCGCGCACCGCTCACTTATACACAACGCCGGCCCCGGCGCCCGCGCATGCGCACTCGGGCCCGCACGCTGCCGCACGTCCACACGCGCGCGCGCCGGCACGCCCACGGCTCCGCCCCCCGCCCGAGGCTCCGCCCCCCCCCCCCCCCCCCCCGGCGAGTGCGGTGGGTGGTCTGGGGCGGTCTCCTGGTCGGAGCTGTTTTAAAAAACACGCACCGTGTTTTCTGTGAGTCAGTGCGGTCGGCAGAGATCAGGCGTGTATGTCCGACTGCTTTTCCCGCTGCAGGAAACTTTGGAAGGAATCAGAAAGTTTATTCCCCCCACCGCCATACCAAACCGGCGGAAAACGCCCCGGACGGGCCCCAATCCGAGGGCCCTCCTCCTGCATGGGATGGAGCGTGGGCATCTGAGGATGGATCCTGCATTGGCGGAGGGCATCTAACCACCACCCCATCCCCAAGCCCCAGTTTTCTCCATTGGGGGATTGAAGAGCTGACTTTCTAGGAGTTTCACTTCTTAGAGATAACAGGATTCCAGACGCCACCCCCACCCTTCATGCCAAATCCCGGGAATAGTGAATTCCTGACTCACAATTGTTGAAGGAAATGTGCAATACTCGCCTGGCCCTGGTGTCCGTGTCTAACTGCACATGAACGTCACTGGCCTCCGTTTGTTCACCTAAAATGGTGGCCATAGGAAATTTTTAAGGATGCTTTCAGATTGAACCAAAGAGCTAAAACATCCCAGTCCAGCCTTATGCCCAGATTTGGGGGCTGGGGAGCCCAAGCACTCCCCTCCCAACCCCCCAAACTATAGGCGTTTGGTCCTGAATGCGCCTATTGGCAGATTGAATTCAGAGTCCTGGGAGGCCCCTGGAAGGAGCAGCCAAGCCACCGTGGAAGGAAAAGCTGACGGCGGCTTCACTGCCTGCCTCCTGGAGGGGAGGGGAGGGGAGGGGAGGGGCAAGGGCAAAGCTGGCGGGCGGGCGGATGGCTCTTGGCAGGTCCACTGAGCTCGAGGACTGGCGGCTCTGCGCGCTGGGCTAAAGTGCGGGGGTGCGTGAGCAAGAACCGGGATATCCACTAAAGTGCGGGGGTGCGTGAGCAAGAACCGGGATATCCACTAAAGTGCGGGGGTGCGTGAGCAAGGACCCGGGATATCCACTAAAGTGCGGGGGTGCATGAGCAAGGACCCGGGATATCCACTAAAGTGCGGGGGTGCGTGAGCAAGGACCGGGATATCCACTAAAGTGCGGGGGTGCGTGAGCAAGGACCCGGGATATCCACTAAAGTGCGGGGGTGCATGAGCAAGGACCCGGGATATCCACTAAAGTGCGGGGGTGCGTGAGCCAGAACCCGGGGTACCAACTGAAGTGCGGGGGTGCGTGAGCAAGGACCCGGGATATCCACTAAAGTGCGGGGGTGCGTGAGCAAGAACCGGGATATCCACTAAAGTGCGGGGGTGCGTGAGCAAGAACCGGGATATCCACTAAAGTGCGGGGGTGCGTGAGCAAGGACCCGGGATATCCACTAAAGTGCGGGGGTGCGTGAGCAAGGACCGGGATATCCACTAAAGTGCGGGGGTGCGTGAGCCAGGACCCGGGGTACCAACTGAAGTGCGGGGGTGCGTGAGCAAGGACCGGGATATCCAGCGGGAAAGGGGCTGAGCGCGCGGGAAGGGAGGAGCCAAACCCAACCGCGACCTTTCCCCGGCATCCTGGGCTGCCAGGCATGTGTCCGAGGGGGAGGGGAGGCCGGGAAATGAGAAAGTTCGGGTTGAAAGCGTGCTGGCAGGCAGGCACTTTGAAATTGAGTTTTTTACTCAGCCCGCAGGAATTTTGGCCCTGCGTTACCCTAGAATTTCGTCTGTTTTTGTGCGCGTTTCAGTGACTCTTCTTTCACACTGTTGCTAGGAGAGGCTCGAGCTCTGAAATCACTTCCAGGTGTCCCAAATGCCATCCCTTGCTTCGCTGGGGGACTTGGGAGAATCCTCAAAACTTTTCTGTACTTTGGTGTCCTCAACTGATATATGGGATGATAACAGTCCTTACCTGGAAATTAAATAAGTTAACCCACATGAAGCACTGAGAACTCTGCCCAACACATAGAAAACCGTCGGTAAGTCCCTATCATTGACTACAAAACTCCCAACGAGGGACTTGAGCCTCTGTTCAGTGAGTGAACACAGGAATTCCACAGTAACCTCCTCTTTAAGGTTCTGTTTGTTATAGTGAGATTGTAGGCGAACTGCCTTTAGAGATTTAATGTGGCTCCCGCAGTAAAGGCGTCTAGAAAATTCTGGGCTGTCTGTTTAAGCTTCTGTGACTGCTTAACTTTCTACAGCCTCAGGTTTGGCCAACTACCCAGAAAGCTGAATACTACCCAACGATACCCGCCAGGCCCCAGGAGGACATTAATGCATGTATACAGTGTGATCGCTGCCTGATGGTAGCGGCTTACTCAGCAATGCACTGCTCTTTCTGGTGGTCGACCTGACCCCCCACCATATGGTTTTGATATTAACCCGATATAAAAAAGAGACCCAGTCCTGGGAGGGGGTGGATTTCCTCCAGGCCGGCCACCCCTGGGAGCAAGCAGCTGCTCTGCCTGTGTATATAAATCCCTCCTCTTGAAGCTCTTATGAATTTGAATAAGGCTATGCGTCAGTTCCTCAGAATCCATCCTGATTTTAAACTTTTGGTGTTTTCCCCCGGTTATAGGATAGTAAGAAGCTAGGAAAATCCCAGGACACGTGGAGTAGGGAAACTAAGACAGATAGTTAAACAGCAGTTTGTAGCCACCTAGTCAGCCCTATCTTCCCTAAGCCAAGCACATTTAAAAGTAAATAGTTTACACTTCTCTTCCCCATCCGGAGTGTAAATAGCTTAAACCACCCTACTCAGGGAGAAAGACAGCAGAAATCCAGTTAGTGCCATTTGCCAGTAACTACGTCCAAGGACAGATGAAGTTAAGAGAATAAATCTCATTTTGGTGCATCAGCCTAAAGTTGATGAGTAAGATCCTCCCCTAAACACCCACCCTTTAAAATCCCTTAAAACAAATGTCCCAGCTCTCTCTAACCCTCCCAGGAACCACCTGTGCCTTCTCCTCCACCTCTCCTTTCCCGCAGGCAAGCATCTCTAAGGCAGTGGTCGGCAAACTGCGGCTCGCGAGCCACATGCGGCTCTTTGGCCCCTTCAGTGTGGCTCTTCCACAAAATACCACGTGCAGGCACGCATGTACAGTGCGATTGAAACGTCATGGCCCATGCACAGAAGTCGGTATTTTGTGGAAGAGCCACACTCAAGGGGCCAAAGAGCCGCATGTGGCTCGCGAGCCATGGTTTGCCAACCACAGCTCTAAGGGAGTTAAACTCACAAGATAAGACATACAAGATATCCCCTCCCATTCACTAGAATACTATTTATTTATTGTTTTTCTCTCTTTTTTTCTTTTTTTTTTTTGGGGGGGAGGATTGCTATTTACTTAAAAAAAGAAAAGAAAAGAAGCATTGGTGAGGATGTGGAGAAAATTGAACCCTTATATGTTGCTGGTAAAAAGGTGCAGCAGCTTTGAAAAACAGTTTGGCAGTTCCTCCAAGAGTTAAACATAGAGTTTCCATGTGGCCCAGCAAGTTCACTCCTAAGTATGTAACCATGAGAATTGAAAACATGTTCACACAAAAACACAAAAATATTCATAGCAGCTTTCTTTAAAAATGCCAATAAAAGTGGGAATAGCTCAAACATACATCAACTGCTGATGGATAAACAAATGTGGTACAAAAATATTATATAGACATAAAAAATGAAATACTAATACATTGTACATGTACCCTGGCTGGTTGCTCAGTGGTTAGAGTGTCAGGCCAAGGGCAGAAGGGTCCCGGTTCCACTCCTGGTCAAGGGCATGTACCTGAGTTACAGGCCCATCCCGGTCCAGGAGGCAACACATTGATGTGTCTCTCTCACATCGATGTTTCTCTCTCTCTCTCCCCTCTCCCTCCCTTCCACTCTCACTAAAAATCAATGGAGCTCTTTCCAGCCAGTGCTGACCCATGGGGATCTCTCGGGACAACTGCCACAAGTGCCACAAGACAAGGGGAAAGAGAAAGCCCTACCACAGGAAGCGAAAATATGAGCTGGGACGCCCTGCTGGCAACACTAAATTTGGACGCCGCCACATACACACAGTCCCAGTGCGGGGTGGCAACAAGAAGTACCCGGCATTGAGGCTGGACGTGGGCAACTTCTCCTGGGGCTCAGAGTGTTGTACTCGCAAAACAAGGATGATTGACGTTGCCTACAAAGCATCCAACAATGAACTGGTCCGCACCAAGACCCTAGTAAAGAGCTGCATCATGCTCATTGACAGCACACCGTACCGACAGTGGTACAAGTCCCACTGTGCACTGCCCCTGGGCCGCAAGGAAGGGGCCAAGCTGACTCCTGAGGAGGAAGAGATTTATTTTTTTTAATATATTTTATTGATTTCTTACAGAGAGAAAGTCAGAAACTTATAGAGAGTCAGAAACATCGATGAGAGAGAAACATCGATCAGCCGCCTCCTGCACGCCCCCTACTGGGGATGTGCCTGCAACCAAGGTACATGCCCTTGACTGGAATCGAACCCGGGACCCTTCAGTCCGCAGGCCGAAGCTCTATCCACTGAGCCAAATCGGTCAGGGCGAGGAAGAGATTTTAAAGAAAAAACGATCAAAGAAAATTCAGAAGAAATCTGATGAAAGGAAAAAGAACGCCAAAATCAGCAGTCTTCTCGAGGGGCAACTCTAGCAGATGAGCTTCTTGCCTGCCTCGCTCCAGAACAGGCAGCGTGGCCCAGCAGATGGCTATGTGAGAGGGCCAGGAACTGGAGTTCTAATTGCAGGAAATCAAAGCCGGGAAGGCAAATACATCCTCTTCCCTCCTGTCTTAGCTCATACAATAAAGGTGTTTATTCTAAAAATAAAATTAAAAAATCAATGGAAATAATATCCTCAAGTGAGGACTAAAGAAAAAAAAAAAAGAAATACTAATACATTCAACAATACAGATGAGCCTTGAAAACAATAGATCAAGTGAAAGAAGTCAGACAGAAAAGGACATATTGTATGATTCCATTTATATGAAAAGTCTGCAGAGACAAAAAGTAGGTTACTAGTTGCCAGGGGCTGAGGGAGAGGGGAAAGAATGGAAAGTGACAGCTAATGGGTACAGGGTTCTTTTTGATGATGAAAATGTTCTAAAATTAGACAATGGTGATGGTTGCACAACTCTGTAAATATGTTCTAAATCACTGAATTGTACACTTCATTTAAAAAAATATTTTTATTGATTTCAGAGAGGGAGAGAGAGATAGAAACATCAATGATGAGATAGAATTATTGATTGGCTACCTCCTGCACGTCCCCTACTGGGGATCGAGCCCACAACCCGGGCATGTGCCCTTGACCGGAATCAAACCTGGGACCCTTCAGTCCACAGGCCGATGCTCTATGCATTGAACCAAACCGGCTAGGGCTGAATTGTACACTTTAAAAAGGTGAATTCTGGCATGTCAATTATATCTGAATAAAGCTGTTATTCTTTAAAAAGGAGGGCAAATTAAACACATCTTCAAATGACACACAAAAACAGGGAGCCATGGCTAGTGTGGCTCAATTGGTTGGGAGTCATCTGGTGCACTGAGAGGTTGCCGATGGGCTTCCCAGTCAGAGCACATGCCTGGGTTGTGGGCTCAGTCTCCGGTAGAGGTTCATGCAGGAGGCAGCTGACCCATATCTCTCTCTCACATTGATGTTTCTCTCTCTCTCCCTCTCCCTTCCTCTCTCTGTAAAAGTCGATTAAAAAAATCTTTAAAAACAAAAACAGAGAGTTAGCCACTGACCCTTGCTAAGGAAACTTTTGAAGCGTGTACCTCAGAAGAAAACGGAACCTAGAAGAAAATAGTGGGATGCAAGAAGAAACAGTGAGGAAACATTTAGAAAACATACAGATTAAACAAACTATGACTACTCAAAACCATTTTTATAACAATGATTACTTTGGGACAGTAGAAATAGCATGTAGTAAAAGTTGGTCAACATTTAAACTAAGATGGCAGTGGTGAGCAGAGAAAGTTGAACAAGTCTTATTTGGGAAGAGGATAGATATTCATTAATTTTAGATATTTTAAGTCTTTATTAACATGGTTAGGGTAGCTTTCTCTTCCTTCCCTTCCTAAGCTAGTCAGTCTTCAAGCCATTGGGTGGAACAAAGGTGTCTGCGGTGAAGGAGAGGACCGATGGCCCAGAAAGGAATATCTCTTTTCTTCTCTGCTGTATCCTCAGAGTCTGGAACGCTTCCAACAGACATTTGTGTGCATGAATGAATGGATCACTTTCTTACTCCTTTTGGACCCTGGTCAAATGTCATTTTTCAGGAAGGCCTTCCTAATGATCCTATGTAAAGCAGCACTCCCCATCCTCTCCATCCCGGCTTCATTTTAGCGTGTAGTGTTCAACACCAGCAAACCTATTTTACATTTATTTGTTAATCATCTATCTACCTTCCCCCACTACAAGTAGCTCCTTGAGGACAAGGACTTGGACTATTTTGTCCAATTACCATGTACCTAAACCCAGAGCAGTGCTTGGCATATGGTAGGTGTTCAATAAATATTTATTGAATTAATAAACACTGAAATTTGTATATCTGCTATATTAAAAAGAAAGAACAGTTGCTCAGTGATTGATTCTATTTTACTTGTATTTATTTTGCAACAACATTTTAACAGTGGTCATATGATTACGAGCCTCTTTTTTCTTTTTCTTTTTTGCCCAAATTTTCTTCTGTGCGCATCTGTTACTTTTACAATGGGGTGGGGGGATGAAAATTTACTAAAGTTTTGTAAATTAATTGCTTGTGCAACATGGTAACAACAACAAATACGCAATGAAGGGAAAACAGTCAAGTGCATTTGGATGGGGAAACTGGGTCAAGAGCAGCGGCGGCGGTGGGAGGTGGAAGTGGAATGGAAGGGCTGTGGCAGCTCAGAGCACCCGAGGAGGGTGCCCAGGGAAGGCAGAGCCAGCCCTGAAAGGTGGGCAGAGAGCAGCAAAGGCAAATGGTGTCTTCTTCACCCCCTACCTGCGACCTTGATTCTGGGTCTGGTTCTGGCGCTAACTAACCACTGACCTGGGCAAGGCACTTCTCCAGGCCTCAGTTTTCTTATCTGTGAAATGCTGGGCTGAGGGAAATGAGCTATAGCTAAGTGTTTTTCCCCGGAGTGCGTGTTTCCAGAAGTTCCATGAAGGAGCTGTGGCTAGTGTGGTGTGTGGGTGTGTGTGTATGAGTCCTGAAGACACCATAGACCTCTATCCCCAGGCTCCACTTAGGAAATGCTGGATGAACAATACAGAGTAGAAAAAACAGTATTCAAAATTAAATGGGGCCCTAGCTGGTTGCTCAATGGTTAGAGCCTTGGCCTGCAGACTGAAGGGTCATGGGTTTGATTCTGGTCAAGGGAATGTACCTGGCGCATGTGGGAGGCAACCAATCGATGTGGTGTATCTCTCTCACACGCATGTTTTCTCTCTAGCTCTCCTCCTCCCTCTCACCCTCTCTAAAATATCAACAGGAAAAATATCCTCGGGTGAGGATTAACAAAAAAAAACAAACAAAAACTAAATGGGCTATATGAGAGAGAGACAGAGAGAGAGAGAGAGAGAGAATATACTCTTAAGTAGAAACATTCATATTAACATTATTTTTCACTAGATAGGACCCTTTTATTCATTAGTCACAGCAGGAACCAGTGCCTGGTGCCTATAGACTTTTCAATAACTCAAAATATTTGTAATATGGAAAACAAAATGTATTGTATTCAAATTTTTTTTCTAAAGGCAAAATTAAAATTAAACATTTATTAAAAGCTCTACAAAAGATAACATATCAACTGAAAAGTTCAACTCAACCTGGTAAGTTTTTTTCAACTTGATAATTTTTAATATGAGATATTTTAATGTGAGGAGGTATGTCTAGGGCCTGTGGAAGTTCTTTTTAAAAATTATTTATTTTATGTTATTTTATTTTTATTAATCCTCACCTGAGGCTATTTTTCCCATTGATTTTTAGAGAGAGTGGAAGGGAGGGATGGAGGAGAGAGAGAGGGAGAGAGGAAAAGAGAGAAACACTGGGAACATCGATGTGAGAGAGACACATTGATTGGTTGCCTCCTGCATGAGCCCAGACCAGGGCTGCAGTTCGAACCTGCAACCTGCAACCCAGGTACGTGCCCTTGACAGGGAATCGAACCTAAGACTCTTCAGTGGGAGGGCCAGGCTGACGCTCTAACCACTGAGCACACCGGCCAGGGCTATTATTTATTTGAGAGAGAGAGAAACATTGATTTGTTGTTTCACTTAATTATGCATTCATTGGTTGCTTCTTGCATGTTCCCTGATCAGAGATAGAGCCTGCAACCTTGGCATATGGGGACGACACTCTAACCAACTGCGCTATCTATCTGGGGCCTAGGCCTGTGGGAATTCTAAAGGTGGGGGGTGGATTATGAATTAGTTTTATAGTTTCTGATAGTTTCAAATGTTTTATTATAAGCATATGTTGTAAGAAGAAGAAAACAATTTCACGGAATGTTCTGAAAAAGCATGTTAATAAAAAAGCTTAGGAAAGATTTGGGTTGAAGAAGCCCCTGTTTCATTATCTCCGTAAAGGCTTATGTACTTTCTAGTCCTGTCTTCTGTAAGTAATAGGAATCAAAAGGGAAACTCACTTCAAACATGTATTTAAGAGAGGTGTTTCTTTCTATGCTGTCAGCTAAGTCATGTCCATCTAACAATTTAGGATAAACCCGTGTGTTGACACTTCGCTCTCCTTCCTTCATGGAATCGTAAACTATTCAGTGCTAAGACCTTGAGAAGTCCTTTAGGTCCTCTTGTCCTTGAATAGAGTGGGCTCTCTGAGACTCAGGCTATTACCAGACAGGGGACATGGTCCTGAGGGGTCTGCCTCGGGCCAGTGGGTAGTATGTGGGTTCTTGACTTCATGCAGGAAAAATTTCACAGCATGAGGGGATGTTTATTAAAGCTGAGGACAGTAAAACAAGGAAGAGTTTAGCACAGAAGAAGCAAAAGGAGGCCTTGGGGCAGGTTCAGAGGATTAGTCTGGGACGAGCTGCCACTGCCCATTGCTCCCCTGGTTACAAACCTCCTAGGATCCTTTATTTTATTTTATTTATTTTATTTTTTTAAATATATTTTATTGATTTTTCACAGAGAGGAAGGGAGAGAGATAGAAAGTTAGAAACATCGATGAGAGAGAAACATCGATCAGCTGCCTCCTGCACATCCCCCACTGGGGACGTGCCCGCAACCCAGGTACATGCCCTTGACCGGAATCGAACCTGGGACCTTTCAGTCCGCAGGCCGACGCTCTATCCACTGAGCCAAACCGGTTTCGGCTAGGATCCTTTAGAGCAGTGGTTCTCAACCTTCCTGATGCCGCGACCCTTTAATACAGTTCTTCATATTGTGGTGACCCCCAACCATAAAATTATTTTTGTTGCTACTTCATAACTGTAATTTTGCTACTGTTATGAATCCTAATGCAAATATCTGATATGCAGGATGTATTTTCATTGTTACAAATTGAAGCATATAATAATTAAAGCATATAATAATTAAAGCATAGTGATTAATCACAAAAACAATATGTAATGATATATGTGTTTTCCGATGGTCTTAGACGACCCCTGTGAAAGGGTCATTCGACCCCCAAAGGGGTCGTGACCCACA